ATATGCAGACCACCGGGAACAATTATCAATGGCGCCGGATACCCCCCCGACCATTACTGCTCTCTTCCGCACATCGATCCTCCTAAAGAGCTGCAATACCCCACATTTTTGCCCTAGAGGGAGTATCCCCGGTCATTCCCCCGCCATGAACAATCAACAGGCTCGGCGGAGGATAAACCTATGCCGAAGCCGAGCCCACCCCTGCATAATCCCAAACGGGGTAATGATATCATTCAGCCTGCGGGATCTGGTAGGGGAAATATAAACTCTTTCCGTAATAAATTGCAGAGTGTTCTTCTTTCTGGATTGTTTCGTCGCTGAGAACGGTTCTTCTGATTCCGCCTATCTTGCAATTGTTCTTGTTGTATACTAGCTTATAGCCAGTAGCGCTAGCAGTGGTACCGGTTGCATTGTTACTGCGGTAAACATGAAGTTCTCGAGCACCAAATATTCTTTTGTCCTGGTTCTGTCGGGCCTGGCTTTGCCGGCGGCGGCGCTGAATGATGGGATTGCGAAGAAACCGCAGATGGGCTTTAACACGTTTGTTGCCCTCTGAGAAGAACACAATTGCAACGGTCGAGATTAATCTTGACACTCATATTGTATCTGCTAGATGGAACTCCTTCAAAGCAACTATCGACGAGAGCGTTATGGTAACAGCAGCCGAGAAGCTCGTGTCTTTGGGTCTGAAAGATGGTAGGTTAACGGCGGGAATCCTCTCAATATTGCTAATTGATTAATTGAAGCTTACATGTCTCAATAGTTGGATATATCTACGCCAACATGGACGAGGGCTGGGTTTGTACTTCCTTTTGAATCCTACGACTCAACATGGATAAGAATATTGAGCTCTAATATCGAGGATAGCAAGCAAACTACACCCGAGAGGAGACAGGCGGAAAGCTTTTGGCAAATTCTACACGGTTTCCAAATGGGATCAAGCATCTTACAGACAGAATACATAATCTGGGACTGAAGGTTGGCATCTACTCGGATGCGGGAGTTTGTGAGTATTATACACACCTTCGACTTAGAAATGGTTTTTTTCTTTGGGTCTTGAGATCCTTGGCTGAGTGATATGATGTGCTGCATAGGGTCTTGCTTCAAGAACCCGGGGAGCTACGGGTATGAATATGAGGATGCTCAGGATTTCGCGTAAGTCCCTCTTCAATTAGCTATGGAAATAGCTAGTATCGAATATCTAGCTTACTGAAATACGTATTTGTCTACTTTTAGCGACTGGGGAATCGACTATCTGAAATACGGTACTTAACCCTCCCTGGCTATATATATATATGTGTGCAAATCCCGTCGAGACATTAGCTAAAAAGTTAATTCCTAAAGATAACTGCGCGGGTGCCGAAAGCTATTACCACCCGCCTCAGGTCCGCTTTGGAGGTTTGAAAACCCTTATATAGTTTCCTGATATATATATACGAGAATTGTTTGACTTAAATCCTACCCACACAGAGATGCGCGATGCCCTAAAAGCAACCGGTAGAGAGATTCTCTTCTCGCTATGCGAATGGGGCTATATGTTTCCCTGGTTGTGGTCCCACGAAATTGGCCATTCCTATCGTATGAGCGGCGATATATATCAACATTACACCGTTGACAAGTCTGGATGCCGTGGCAAGACGGCATATTCGTTGACTACTGGCGATGTTCGTGTCAATTCTCCGTATTTTGGTTATTTTTAAACAAATCCCGCTTCTAACTGTTATTGATGCTGTAGGGCGGTTGTTCTGTCCTCACCATAATCCGCAAGATGCGCGAGATCACCCAATATCAGCAGCCAGGTTCATGGGCCGATGTAATTATACCCTCATGCTTCATATAATAATTCTCCTCCCAAAGACTAACCCACCGCTCGACTTTACCAGATGGACATGCTCGAGATTGGCAACGTCGTCAATGCCACTATCTACGAGGAGCAAACACATTTCTCCTACTGGGCCGCTCTCAAATCCCCACTTATCATTGGTGCCAACCTCGCCACTATTTCCAACAGTTCCGTTGAGATCCTCAAAAACACCGAGATCATCGCCCTAAACCAGGACAATCTTACCGTGGCCCCATGCTATATCGCTAGCATCAGCATCGACAAGAACCAGCAGTACTGGGCTGGTCCGCTCAGCGACGGGTGGGTTGTGCTGATGACGAACGAGCTCAAGACGGAGCAGGATCTTACCATAAAGTGGGAGGATATTGACGGTCTACCCGTGGGTAAGTGGAGGGTAAGGGATATATGGGAAAAGAAGGATTTGGGTGTAAAAAGTGAGGGGGTTACGGTGGAGGGGGTAAAGTACTTTCAGACGAAGGTATTGAAGTTGACGAAAGAGAAGAGGTGAAAGTAGGTATCTTCACTTATATTTATGTAGTCGGATCAAGGGACTGTATATTTCTAAAAATGTGAATAAGCGTCGTGCATAAATTTTACCCTGATTCGTCTCTTGTAACTTTAATTATGCTGATTGCGGACTGCGGTAACGACATGTATGTATGTGGCTCATAAGCGAGTGATACACTATGATCCAAATTCTTATCATAATCGAGACCTCAAAATTTCTCAAGACCTAAACGCGCGAGTAGAAGCATTAAGAAAACCTGCGCGCGCGTTTTGAGTGTGAGAGGGGTATCAGTTTTTGTGACTGCGAGAACCTGATCAATTCACCGCCCCCAGTTGGTCGGTGGCCGTTAAGGACTTCACAATAAGTGGGACGATATATGCGGGAACACCCCATCGGGACACTCTGTACCACAAGCCGTTCCGGGTTTTCAGGCTCTGCGGTCTCCGGGTAAAATGTTCTCTCACATAGAGTACACGAGCCTGGGGTAAAATCGGCCCCGCCCACAGATCTCGAGCCCGCTATGGCCTCCGTTAGTTTTCCAGCAAACATTCGATTCCTATATATCATTCCTAATCTAGAATAGATACAACTCTCACTAAAATAGTTTGTGCAATAAACAAATCAGGGATGAACAAAATGATAAAACCACCAGCAGCTCGCTAGGAATAAGCGCGAGAAAAACAAGATACCAATAAAAACACCAAGGAAAAAAAGAAAAAAAAGGGGGAAAAAGGAAGAAAAAAAAAAGTGGCTACACATAAAAATCATGACGCCTTTGTGAGAGGTTCATCCACCTCTTTTGATGGCAAAATTCTTGCCATGTCTTCAGACACATTCAACCCTCTACTAGAGTTCACATGTCTCAGTCCTTCAGTCGGCTCGTTTCTCAATGCTCTGATCCTACATTATCACCATTCTTGCTCTGCGCTACCCGCATATTGAGCGTAGCATCTATTTGGTCAACTTCATGAACCAATCGGCAAACAGAACCGTCAACATTGCGTGCGGCGCAATACGGACGTAGTAACTAATCTAAACTTTAGCTTCTTTCCATGCGGGCACAAGGAGTGATACACCTACGTTCCGAATCCTCTGTAGAATCTCAACAATCCCTCTTCCTTAGCAACCTTCATCGCACAATCGAGAGTTCCCTTATATGGCAATTTTCCATCGGGACCCTTAGTCTGCTTTTGTAACCTTGTTTTGACCTACAACCACCGGTGTAAGGATAGATCAATTGAGATAGATATGAGGGGACATACGAAATCAAACGGCAAGCTGAAGAAACTGGCAAAAAATCCCGCAACAGCGCTTGCTGCGATACCTGTGGCAACCTCTGCATTCTTCTTCGATCCCAAAACCTTCTCGAAATCGTATTTCGCGAGTCTAGCCTTACTCTCACTATAAAATGCGAGCTGCCCAAAGTTCAGAGCCATAGCTCTAGCAACCGTCGGCAGACACCCGTTCCATAGAGCCTTGACTCCTTCTGAAGCAGAGATACGCTTGAGCGCATTGAGCACTGAGGTATAGTTCTTACGCTCAGCAACCGGGCGCATTCCATCAGACTGCATTCTGATAAGTGCAAGATCTGCCGGATTCCCAAGGATGGCACCAAGGCCACCCGCACTCAGCGCTGCTAATGTACGTTCGCCAAAGGTTACATCACGACCTTCTGACTTGGCCTTAGCGCTAATCTTGTTCATGAAGGTTCCGAAGAAACCCATGCGGGCTGTAGTATACCTATAAAGATATTAATGGGAATTTATGCATATAGATATAGAGTCGAGACTTACACAGCCTGGCGCAGAAGACCAGCAGAAAGCCCCGAATACAAGTCAAGGAATTTACCTTGCTTGATAATATCGCTGGTGACCTTCAGGGGGGACACTTTCTGGTTCCCCGCAAGTTGAATGCGGACCTGCATCTCGTTAGCGAGTCCCCAACCCGGTACTGGCTGTCAATTGCAAGGGTTAGGGTAGGCAGCAGTAACAATTGGATCTGAGCTAGCCGGCCCTAACCCAACCCGGATAAATCTATAACCGGCCGCAACTACATACAATACTCTTCTAGCTTTATCTACTAGATGCAACCAAGAAGAAGCAAAGAAGCAAATTCAATTACACATACCTTAACCATATCAACAGGTTGAATAACACTGGTCGCGATCATTCCAGCAGCACCACCATTCAGGAACGGCAGTACACTTCTGGTGATAGGATGATGGAGGAAATCGGACTTGCTCCCACGCCCAACTGAACGTGTAGGAGCGGTAGCAGCTGCAGACATCTTTGAAGTGTTTGTTTGGTTAAATCTGGATCTCGGAGTGACAGATATTAGTTCCGGTGGGAAGGGGAGGGGGGGTCTTAGGCGAATCCTGAGGGAGTGAAGGGGATATCTGATATGGAGGAGGTTCAGAGGATTTATATCGGATAAAGTGAAGAGCGATATAGATATAATTTAAGGATATGCGTGAATAAGAACTTGGGACCCAATAGTAGATCTAACAAAGAATCTAATTGGTGAAGAGGATGGAGAGGGCTTATTTGAAAGGAAGAGGGACAAACAAGGAGGGAGGGGAGACGGAAAGAGAGACGGAAGAAGACGGAAAAATATAACAACATACCAGAATTGAGAATTGCCCGAGAACCGTCAATCGGATAATCTACGGACTGAAGGTAGGAACTGTCCTAAAGTTAGCCGGTTCCGTCAGCTCTGTCTGGACCCTCGGTAAAAAAAAGAGACCAACCCGGTATACGAACCGAACACGGAACAAGAGTGATGATATCTTTGCTTTTTTCTCTTTCTCCGGGGCCCAATCCTTTCAGCTTTGTGCTTTGTTGCGGTAGCAACCAACTGTTGAGTCGTTGAGGTCAAAGTTGAGATCAAGAACGTTGAGCTGATGCTGCGACTACGAGTTGTGTCGAGACGCAAAGAGCAAGCAGGAGAGGAGGGGCGGATGGAGAACACAAACAGCCGGCCCCTCGATATATTACTAGCAGATATAGGATTGGCATGATGTTGAGGATGAGGGGTTTCTTGCGTACTGTAGGGTCACACGAGTTCTGTATATTGAGCGCTGAACATGTCGATCGTAGCTATGGATAAGCTGTGTACGTACGTGCATGATACCACTTTCCAAGTTCTACCTCTCCCTCTCGGCTGAAGTACAACACTGGAGAAAGTAATATAAGAGCAATATCTTAACCGAGTGATTCCCCGCTGTTTCATTTAAAGGAGCATCCCAAAAAGCTTTCATGTATGTATGCATGTATTTTTAAAAACCTACAGTACCGTACTTAACTAAACCTTCAATTCACCTTCATACCTTCATACCGGCAAATATTCGTTTTCGAGAAGATGAAAACCGCAATTGGGAGCTCACCGAGTTCAGGCGAGCTTGGCCGAAGGCTTGAAGCAGTGACCGGAATTCGGTAGTGGCGTGGGAATCCAACGATAATGACTCGGGGTTACATGTAATCCCAGTTGATTACATAATCCCGAGCTCATCCGGTTCCGGTGGCAGTGCACTATGTAGAGGTGAAGCTCTTTACAAGAACAAAACCAAACACACAAAGTGTACAAAGTCGGGCGGGAGACTGGGGCTTTTATAACAAAAAATGATGCCAGGCAGAGCAGGCAACTACTGAGAATCCTGTTCTTCCCGCAAAAATCTGAGCGGTGCACGTTCTCTGTCGTGCTTAACCACGATGCGTTCTTTAGAGGCTCGGATAGGGCCGCTAATTGCCGAGGGAATCAGTGGAACGCGGGGTAATAAGCTTTGACCCCCTGGATGATAAGGATTGTGGAGAGCGCTAATGACAAGCGATGACGCCTAGCGAGATTCTAGAAAGGAATGATGTGATGAAAAGCTCTAATATTCAAAAATCGATATGAGAAAAGCTACATCCTTATGTTCTGTATTTTCATGACTGAATCCTAGTTTTCGCAAGATGTCGATAAATTTATATACATATATTTTGCTATTTACAAAATCACCATCGTCCGTTCTCTTTGACCCGCTCACGGGGAGAAGGCGGATCCAGTCTGATGGGCATACGTTTAGTAGAGTTGACTTTGTGACGCCAAGGCCAAATACGAGCATCAGATATGTCGGATCCGCCGTCACCAGGTGAGCGAGTATACATAGGTACCTCAAGGCCTAATCGCTCTATCCCTAACATAAACCCTCTAACCTCGCAGGCCGGGAGTCTTGTAACCAGGCAAGTGAGGTTACCTAATGAGGTCTTGGCTACATGTATCTATATGCCAAGAGCGCCCCAATTTATTAGCGGGCGGTATCAATTAGTGAGGCTTAAGTATATACTACATGTATCTCCTATAATATAAAAGGTCAGAACGAAAAATAAAAATGATAGATGGGTACTGACTGATTGCATTTGCATTGGCCAATCTCAGAGCTTGCCGAAGGGATTCGGCTGTAAGAATTAATCGATATAGTAAATCCTTATAAAGGGAGATTAATTAACTATGAGTCCAACAAACGAACTCTTAGCACAATCTCTATAAGAAAGGGTAGTCAGCTCTCAGCTAAAAATGAAGGGTAAATCCCCTCACAAAGTCATAGGCTCAATGTCACTGTTACCAGGCCCAGCACCGTCAGACCTAGGCCTACATGTAATCACGTACAACCAAATTTATTCACAACCAAATTTGTATGCCAATGACCGATTTCTCAGTTTCACACGGCACCAGATTGCAACGCGTTTCTTTGCGGTGGTAACACCGGGCTGGCTTGTTTGGTCATATCTCCATTAACTCGGGTTCGCCATTGACCCAGAAAACACTGTACAACCCCTTTATTATGAGAGACATACAGGCCTTGGCGCTAGTTACCCGGACCCTTAGATATGGGAGGTGCTTTACTTAGGCGTTCAGTGAAAAATCGCCCCGTTGCAACGCCTGTCTAAGAGTAAGAGCCCTGGCAAATACATGCAGTACTGTGGGCCACCCTGCAGCTCACATCACCCCTCCCCGTAGCTCTTAGCTCTCAACAGCTCTCTTTTATCTTTATCTAGCTACAGTACTGGCATCATCGCTATAGTCTGCATGTCTCGGCCGACTCTTGAATCACTTCCTCTCGATGTCTCCTACAATATCCTCTCCTACCTCTATGCAGGAACACGGGATTCTCATCATCCTTACCTAGCCCTATCAGCCGTTTGCAAAAACCTTAATGGTCTTGTCGAAACCTACAGCTCCCACATCCTCACTACCCGCCTTGTGAATACATCTGGCCCCGTGCCTATCGCAAGGCCAACCGCCAGGCAGCGTTTATTGCGTCATGTATGGTGTCACTGTGAATTTTGTGGCAGAAAGACTACACGCCGTGCTACTATGGCAAACTCTCTAGCTTGCTGTAAGGTTTGTGATAAGCAAGAGTGGGATGAAAAAATTACCATGACAGACGCTATGAAAAGGTCTTCCTCCTTTTCCGTACATCAGGAATTATACTCGCCGGCTGATACTTCCTAGATATCATTTGAAGAAACAAGATCTTTTCACTCCACGCATTCGCCGCGGACAATACTATGGTGTCAATGGAATGACGACTCTTTTCCTAGAACCTGAGGTTCGTGAGCTTGCAACGCGGATTCATGTCGGAATTGGCAATGATATTGAACCCTTTCTTGCGGACCGCATCTCGAAAAGTCTTGAGCGTAAAGCCGCACGCGAAAGATCCCGTCTGGCTAAAAGAAATCATCTCCACCGTGCTCTTATTGCCAATGGACTTACCCAACCTCCCACTCTCATAAATACTCTGGCGCACTTCCTTGAACCAGGTCGCGATAGGCGACCTGCAATGCCGGTGCTGGAAATTGTACGCATGAAACTTTTGCAGCAGCGTTTACAAACAGAGGTAGGGCATTAAAATAGCTCTTTATCTATCCTAATCATAATGTGTTTATAATATACATCGTGTGGGATCGGCTTTGATTCTGGGCACATGTGTGACTAAGACCTTTTTCTCTTGCATAGAACTTACATCTTCAACCGCGATACAACATATTCCGCGACTCACGTGACAAGGCACTGTTTGAATTGTTTTGCAGAGAATTTGATCTTTTGCCACCTCAAAAGCAAACGAACTCGGAGGATGGAGAGGTGGAAATAGAAGATCGCATCAAGCTTTATGAACACCACCGGAAAGAGTGGGCTTGGACTTCAATCCCTGAAGGTGTCACATCAATGCTTCGGAAGCAGATAATCATTTCTCCTAGCCGACATGACAGTTGGGAGAATACTGTCAGCATACTCAACGAGCCGCCATGGAGTTGGGCATGTTTTCCAATTCTTGTGAAGGACGCTGCTGCTACCGTAAACCCGGATCATACCACTAGCCCAAAGGAGGCAAGGGAGATGGAGAAGGAATTAAATAAAATAAATAAGTGGAATGAAAAGGCCGAGAGTGAGATGGCTAGGATTACAGCACTGATCAAGGAGAGGGGGCTGGATAAGAAGTTGTGGGGTAGGCCTGAGAATAGCGGCCCCGGGGTGGAAGTGATAGACCCACTGCAAGAGTTTGCGGATAGATACCATAGTGCTAGGTCTACTAGGGCCTAGCAGTAGTTATCTGTGGTAGGGCCAACAAGTAAGCAGTTTAAAAGGTGAGTTGTGTGATGAGAGCTCTACCATGAGAGTTGATCACTTAGGATGTTAGAAACTAACCCCCCCAGAATTGGTCAAATCCCCGCGAATACCGAAGCCGCGCAGATACTCCAGAAGATTTCTCATAGATATCCCATTTAAATCAAATCCTCGGATAAGGACTCTGGGGCCTATTTCTTGTTTGTTTTTCCTTTCTGTTTTTGTTTCGATCTCAATTTATCGTTATGTAAGATTACCTGTGAGATCCGACCGTGATATGCGCAGTTGTTTTTTCAAATAGCCATTTAAATACCTACATTCGTTGTTTCAGTGCATAAATCAAGATAATAGTGCGTCTAGTTTTCACAATATATGCAGTTCTTCAGGGTATAAAAGAACAGAGATTACTTTAAATCCAGGATTACGCATACAATTAATGATGTAACATTCAAATAAGTCTAGGTTCACCAACTATCACTCACCAGGTGCTCGAGCCTTCCCATTCGTTACCCCTATACTGATATTACCTGCTAAAATAGTAATAATCGTTCGTGTGACGTCGCTTGCATACATCTGTAGCTCTACTAAATGAAATCATCTCGGTCAACGATCTTCACGTCTAATCATAACAAATACTGGTAAGAGTCACTTCGGCACACGGCATCCGAGTCTGCTGGAGGTATATAAGCCCCACAAATTCCCAAGTTCAACAGTGAGTCTACATCTCAGTAAAAATGCTCTCCTTACTTCAATTAACTTCTTTTTTGGTCCTCCTCTCCTCCAATCTCATTGCTGCTACGAAATCAGCAGGATGTGGAGCTGCCCTTCCAACAAACTCAACCCCGGGGGGTGCAAGCCAGCAGTTCTCAATCACATCCGGAGGTATTGAAAGAACTTACAAATTATACATTCCAAGCAGCTACGAATCCAGCACTGCGGCGCCATTGATACTCTCGTACCACGGGAATACAAGAACAGCGGATGATCAAGAAAGAATATCAGAATTTTCATTGGAAAAATGGAATACTGAGTTTGTCGTTGTATATCCAAATGGAGTTGATGTATGTGTTGCTCGTACAATGCTCACCCTCTAAATCTAAGCTAACCTAGCCCAGAATTCCTGGCAAGGCGCCTCTTACTCTGCTGCCGGGGTTGACGATGTCTCCTTTACCAGCGACCTCTTGGACCATCTCGAGTCCATGCTATGCATAGACACTGATCGCCTCTATGCCTCCGGAAAATCCAACGGTGGAGGTTTCGTAGGATTACTAACATGCGACTCTGCAATGTCGCTTCGAATCACCGCTTTCGCGGTTGTTTCAGGGGCCTTTTACCCTGGCACTAGAATACCTTGTAATCCTACTACGGAGAGGGCGCATGTGCCGATTATGGACTTTCATGGGATGAACGATACTACTGTGGGTTTTCCAACTCTCGGCATAGCCCATGAATGATAGTTCACTAATCTGTTTCACATAAAGATCCCATATTACGGAGGTACAGGGAAGGGTGGCGCGCTACCTAGCATCAGGAGCTGGCTCGAAGATAAAGCTTCTCGTGATGGTTGTAGTAAAGCACCTGATACTAGGGAGATCCTAAAGGATGGATTGGTTTGGAAGGATGTTTGGACTTGCGGGGAGACTGATGGAAAGAGAGTTTTGGTGGCCTACAATGAGACTGATTTGGCGCACAAGTGGCCGGGGACAGAGCAGACAGGGGACGATCTGGTCATTGCGACACCGAGAATCCTGGAGTTCTTCAGAGAGTGGTCGTGAGAGTGAACCTTATATGCGGGGGACTTTTGGTATCTTTGGGCGAACGTTCGTCTAGGTTATCCAATGCATATATGTGTACTTTTATGCTTAAACCTTTCGTAGCTGTGTGCAGCTACATGTAGTAATTTCCCTAGATGGTTGTGTTAAGTATACGTAGGAGGGCGGATTTCCTGTTGTCTAGAACATACATGTAGTTTTAAACAGATATGTAACCTATACATGTAGCTGGTACAAGCATTTTCCGGCCTTTGGCCGGAGTAGGAACTGTTATGGCTTAAACAATATCAGTTTACCAACGCTTAAGATCACTGAAACCCCAAGATGCCCTGTGCACATATCTGATATACTATTTGGTTGACTCAAGGTATGTTGGAACCAATATCTACTGGCTGACTCAAACATATTTGATAGAGAAAAAGAAAACCCCTCAAACCTGGCCAATCAAAACCTTTAAATAACACATTGCATATCGGTATATCTATATACTTATTAGATATGTATAGATCATTATGCTTGTGTTCGCTATGTTACCGTTTCTTCAACTCCATTGCATATACACTTCCACCAGCTACCTCCATCAATTTATAATAGCTCTATAAGCAGTAATCATTTATGGAATATCGCTAGCAATTCGGCTCTATAGCTATGGTATAATGTACATATACTACTACACAACTCGTTTACGAGGAATATACAAGTAAAACAATGCCTCAATATGTCACAATACCCTCCTTTCGGGAATCGATAAGGTAATCATGAGCGAAGAGCTTTCTTAAATACCACGCGGACCGTAACCTTGAGAAGATCCGATAAGTACTGTGAGCCTAGAAGTGTTGAGATTGGAGATTGGCCCATGCCATTAGATTACAATTGCCATTTCTAAAATAAAAGTGCCAAAGATACCAATCAGAGATTTACAAAGCTGGTGGCGTCTATCGACAAAGCCATCTATAATACGTAATTGATGAATAAACCAATTGCAACCACGCAATCAATACTCATATACTCTTAATACTCGGCACGACGCCCCCAGACTCTGACGTGACCTTATCTTACGGGGCCCGCGGCCGGGGAACGAAGGCCCTGAGTTAGTTTTTAATAAGTGCCTCCTCACTTATAAGGAGGGGCAGTTACGCAGCCTCATATTACTGATCCGATTATAATATTTGGAAGATTGATACTTTATTTTAGGTTGAGGCTGTTGATCCACGTGGAGTAGCCAATCAGAGAGCGATAAGCTCTTACCCCCGGCCCCATGCCCTTCGATCATGATCACTTCGTTCAGGGCATTATGTACTTGGTGAACAAAGTCACTTTTGGATAAACCTCTTATATCACTTCTCTTTATTTACGTACTAAGTATGTAACTACTTTGAACGAAACCCGGGTTCTTCTTTCGGGGGATAGACAGTACTAGTAGTTGTAGCTGCCTGCATGCAAGGTATGATCATGAGCCGGTCAAGCGAGTGATAGTATATGATGCAATACTTCTGCCCCTAGCCAGCGGGTTTGTTCAACTTTTGAATTCTAATTAGCATACCCTGCCCAATCACGATGTACATCGCCTTGGTACATGGATGCACCCTTCTTGAAACATTTGCTTGTTCTTCATAGCAACATTCTTGTAGTCATTTAGCGCAACCACTAAATTACATAACACAAGCAACAGCCCCACAGCCCATCTAAAACTACAAAGTTCCCTTGACAAGCTCTTCAATTTCCTCCTCGCTCAATACCTTGATTCCCAATTCCTCGTTGTTAACATTCTCGAACTTTCCACCGTATCCTTCACCCCACAGACTCCTGTAGATCAGCTTCCAGATGGTGCTGAAATCTCCCTGGGCAAGCTTGGCGTTGGTCTCCTTCTCGACATCGGCTGTGCTCTTCTCCTCAATTGTCCACTTAACACCAGTATGTTTCTCGAAATAGCCTAGGAGGCTACGCTGGGTGGTGACAGCGGAGTGAATATAGAGAACACGGTTCTTGAACACATCGGGCTTTGATAGCGCAACTGCGACTGATTTACCAGTAGAGGCCAGGGTAGTGGTGCTGAAAGGGACAGAACCACCGTCGTAGAGGGTGGCCTTCTTCTCGGCGGTGTTGAAGCCAAGGAAACCAACTTTCAGGCCTATTGATTTGATTTTCACGTTAATCGTGACCAAAGAGCATTGGGGCGCGCGAATACATACCCCAGTCAAAGAAAGGCCCGTTGTTGATAATAATGTAGTTGATCTTGCCCTCTGAAGATTTCTTCTCAAGATACTCCCGTACAGCAACCTTTCCACGAAATACAGCCAGCGTCCGGGTCTTCTCGTTTGAAATATCACCTCCAAACTCGCTGGGTATGAAGTACTTTACACCTGCTTCGATGGCAGCATCGATGAGTTTGATTTGATCATTAAGACCTGTGGCACCGACAGTTGAGACAACGGCATCTTGTCCTTTGAGTGCCGAGACAAGGTCTTCATGCGATGAATAGTCTGCTGTTACAACATTAACTCCGCTGGGTGGATTTTTTGAATCTTTGCGACTAAGAGCTGTGACGTTGAAGTCGGGGTTTGCTTTGAGTGCGTTGAGGACGGCGGGGCCAAGGTTACCGGCGGCCTAGAAGACGTTAGATATCTTTTAAGTCTTTGTTTATATTCCGCTCGTCTACTACTAAACACCGATTTATAGACGAGGGAAATTCCGAGAGAGAGATCGAAATTGATAAGAAGTGTGTACTTACACCGACTTGGATGACGTTCTTAATGGGAGACATTTCGAAGATTGTAATGTTTTAGAGGCTTGAATAAGGTTGGGGAGATTGTTTACTGATGATGTAGTAAGGTGAAGATGTGAGTGATGGTGATGAGACAGAAAGAGAGGAAGAAGTGGTGAATATATATACTTCTGAATATTACCTTACCTAACCTTTTATAGTCAACGATATGCGAATTACTCTGTGTCCCGCATGCAAGAATCACGAAATATGAGGCAATTCTTCACATGTAACATCAACAACCATTGATATCGCGATATTCACGATTTCGAAGCATTTACAAATGCTACCTTTGGATTTTAAATACTACGTGTGATATTACTGAAGATGCCGCGATACCGGCAGATCACCCACATGTAGAGTACGTATTCCTTGCTATTCATCCGGGGTAAAATAAGCACATTCTCGGGTCAGCACTATGTTTGGTCATAGTAATCCGTTTGAATTACCTGAGGTACCATAAAGTGCAAAAAAGGACTATTCTTGGCTCGGAAATGTGCCTGTCTCAGACTGCCTGTGCTCCAGTACTTCAGCAGCCCAAATAGGTAGGCATCAAAGACTACACACGTAAGCTTGGAGAACCTCATAATCTCACTAAATTAGAAAGAACCATCGAAACAAGCTGTGTTCTATCGCGACTTGTATCTATCGTCAACTCGAGAATTCCGTGCGGCTCGGTATCAGAATAGCTAAGCATTTTCCTGCGTGACAAAATATGAGGGGTACAGCGTGATGATTGTGTTGTCACGCAATGGTTGTTGCTTGATAAGCCATTAAAAATCTACAAATTGATTTCTCAGCAAGTGGGGGTGAGAAATAATAGGGTTGTACTGATGTGGTTCATGCAAGAGGCTCTACTGTCCAGTGACGGAAGGATCCCGCGCCGCGGAAAGACCCCTCGGCCGAGTAATTGATACCCCACGTAAAGTATATGCAGGCCTCTCAAAGATAAGTCACGATGGCCTGCAGAGTGTAGTTAGATGGCGGGGTTAGGTTTACTGCTGAGCCAACGCTGCAACTTCAACCTCAACTTCAATTCATACCCTTCCATACATCCATCATATGTGTCGGAAATAACGTACTTTCTCGTAGGTAACACATACATGTAGGCTCCAAGGAATCATAAAGATTTCTAGTTGGCCTTCCTAAGTACCTATTGTACATCTGCTTAACGTAGGTATATTGAAATATCACCCGGCTTGATTTTCAATAGCCGAAGTATGTGTATTAGTTACATGTAATGATCTACTAACCAATGCGACCGCTCGAAACCTGGGTTCAGATCTTTGAGCTACATATTAAGCGAATGATACAACATAACGATCATGTGTCATCACTCGAGGATTGCCAACATGTTAAATAACTTCAATCGGTTCTAATTTCGTGTGGCGTTTGTGTAGGGACGTCGACGTAGTAACCCTGTTTAAAACTACTTAAAACCCTCTAAAATACATTATCTACAAAAGAGACATATCTTAATACCCGTCACAAACTGTAGACTTGGCTCCCTCTGAAGCATCACTTGGAATGACACCCGCCGCAACGGCCTGCTGGTAGCCCCATCTCCAGTCTATCCTGCCACCAATTTTTTCAACCTTCCACGACCAAAAGATCCATCCCGCCTGTTTCTCGTAGCTAATGGTCTGTGCCGCCCACCATTTGCTGTACCATGAAACAGCATCGGAAGCATCAATGCTGAACTCACTGCCATCTTCATCTGCTGGGCTCAAACTCCATTCACCAACAACGACTGGAGTATTTCCACCACGATCATTTGTGCAAGAATGTTGCATATAGGCGTCGCGCGTAGCAGTGACGCCAGAGGTCCATTTAACGTAGTGATGGTCATCATAATATGCATAGGTTTCATCCGTGAGCGCTTTTGTCGGGTTCCCGGACCCCCATTTTTGGTTCATCATCTGAACGTGAAGCTTTTTAGAAGTAGCCACACCAAGCTCCTCCTCCATGGAGTTGATCCTACTCATGGCAGTCGGGTAGTATGTATCTATCATTGTCGTGACCGAGCTGGCAGTCTGAAGAGGTTCATTGACAACTTCAATGGCATATACGGTGTCGAAATTAGAGTTGGTGTGTGTTACATTCGTCATCCACTCGAGCCACTTGTAGGCACGCTCATACTGATAGTCGACATAGAATCCAGGGGTCGACGCATACTGCCCAGTGAACGGCTGATCGGCTTGTTGAGCGCCTGGGGCACCATGAAGGTCGAGGATGATATAGAGCCCCGCATCCTTCGCCCACCCGCAGACCCTCTCAAGGTAGGTGAATCCGCCCTGGGGGAAATGTTCACTATCGGAGTAAACAAGGTCCTCCTTTATCCAGTATCCAAGTGGGATTCGGATAGTATTCAGACCCAACCCCGCAATCTGAGTGATATCGTCCTGGGTGATGAAGGTATCCCAATGTTTTTGAAACGCCGTATTTGCAGCCTCCTGGCCAAGATTCATGACACAGTCGAACTCACTCTTGTATGCTGAGCACCCGATGGTGCTCCAGGACGTTGCCTGCATCCAAGGCTCGATGACAAAAAGACCGCCGAGATTGACACCGCGTATCTTGTCGACGGGGGGAAGCCATGCCCATGAGGCGGGTAATGAGGTAACTGCCAGGAGAGCAGCATATTGAAGGATTGAAGTTTTCATAGCCTCGAACCGTCTGTAGAATAGATGGAACTTAAGAGAGATAGTTATAAGATTTTGGAAATTAACCCGAGTGATGGACAAGAAATCAAAAAGAATGCGTTTGTTGGTTAATAAAAAGCCTAATTTACAAGAACCTTCGACCCTGAACTTACATATAAAATCGGTCACGGCTATCGAAATTAACTTTCCGTATCTTGGTGAGTTTTAGCTAGTAAATTGAAGGGCCGAATTGTTTCACCAGTATACCATGAAAACTAATATCACCGAAGATACCCATTAGGCTTGATAGTGCAGGACCGTCAAACACCTGCACTTAAAATACAGTACTACACAAGCATTGTCCCTAGGACAAGCAATAGCCAAGGTTCTCGGCTCAGGTACCCGAGCTAGCGTTGGTTTCCCCGGTGTCAAACCCCTGCAACCCACCCGGTCGGGTGGTACCATAAATACAAATTCGGTAGGTATGTTTCAGATAAGTAGAATACCTACTCGAGACCTCAACATCCCAGACGACAAGTCCTGGCATTTTGGGGGCATCGATATATACCCCGCAGATCCCGGATGTTGGGCACTGGAAGGATATCAACCGAACACCGACCTCTCTGGGTAGATCCTTCAAGTGATAGAAAACCGCTATAACAAGAGTACTCTACAAGACGCATACAGACATGGTAAAGAGAGAATTAATCAAGACACATCTAATCACAATATTTAATTAGCTTAATGCATAAATGGTCTGTTTTGGCAGGCACTCAATATTGCAATGCCCCTCCCACTTTCCTTTTGGTATTCTGCACTTCCGTGAACGTCATGGTTAATTGCTATGAGGTCTTAGCACCGGGCTGATGTTTGAAGTCCTCCTATCACAATGTGTAAAGCAAGCGGCTTCATAAATTGAGTCTACCGGTGGCGAAGACAGTAGGTCTTCGGCATTAATAAGAAATTCAGGGCCCGTTAAGGAGCTGTCCGGAATGAATTGCCGTTCCGAGAAAATGAGTTGCGTTTAGTAGGCTATTCTGTGTAGGTCCATGGATCTAGAAGACAACCATAAATGTTATTAACCTTGACAGCTCCACTATTCCCAAACAGTATACATCATTTCAAAAAGCCTTTTTAAAAGATTTCCGTTTTCCTATAGTGGCCCGCTCCCAAATAGGTCTCACTAAGATTGATAGCTTCTATGGAGGCGGAGCGGTTGTCGAATAAAGCTGAGCATGAACTAGATGGATAGGTAGATGGTAGGGGAAAGATAGATGCATATCGTGGGCAGGCGGCGAGAAGGAACTGGTCAAGCCGGGCACTAAACGGCGCATCATTTTTAAACACTGTCCCAAGGTTCTCCGTTTTTTTTTTTTTTGTAACTGCCCGCTCCCAAGCAGGCTCTGAGTGTATCTCTTAGGCTATCAGGCCTGTGTGGCACCCAAGTAAGAGTCGAACTTGTTAGTTTACAAGCGGTCCTTTGTCCCCAACATTTGGTCCGCTTGGGAGCTAAGTCGTCAAAACCTTCATTTTGTCGGTATATATTGTTGTGCCCTTGGGTATCTAGACAAGCTATAGGAAAATAGAAACAAACTACCGCCTGCACTATTTAAGAAAAGTATCCGGGCATCAACCATTCCAATTTCTTCACCGTCTCCGCACCTCTCCCAGCCGGTGCAGTGCAGCACGCGAACTTTGAGGAACCTTCCACATGTTTGGCGTTGACAAGGTCCTGGTGCTCCTCCTTGACCAACTCCTGAAGAACAGCGGCGACAAGACGTTTTGCATTGGCACCATTAGCGTGCATATTACCCATAACTGTCTCGACAGTAACGGCCTCTTCGCCGACCTCTATGATCAAAAGCAAACTTATCAGTGGTAGTCCTAATTGGAAATGGAGATGGGGATGGGGGCAAACTCCAGCAATCATAATCAGTTGACATGCAGATCATGCAGTAAGCAAGCTCAGCCTCGCGGGCAAGCTTTGATTCTGGAAGAGCTGACCTGGGGGATAAATTAGTTACGAATCAACATATATATCTCATCTCATAAGCGATTTCACTTACATGTTAATCACATCTCCGCCCCATGATCTGTAGAGGTTGCTCTCCGCCCTAGTACTGAATTGAGGGCCCTCTATTTTGCTAAATCAGTATCAAGAATTCACACCTAAAGGGTTCAAAATTCTCTGGTGATCAATACCCATACAAATCAAAAGTTTGTCGCTATGAAGCTTGACATCTGTTCCTTCGAGAACACCGTTGCTGGCAACCCTTTCGATAACCCTCGAAAGGGCAGCATCGAACGGATCAGCGAAACCAACATGTCCTACAACACCCTTCTCAAAGAAAGTAAAATCTCTGATTCCCTTCGTACGATCGATAATTTGTGACGGGATGACAAAGTCTCTGGGCTTGATCTCTTCCTGCAAACTACCGACGGCAGAAAATGCGATCACAGACCTGACACCGATGGAGCGTAGGGCGGCAATGTTGGCACGGTTGGGAACTTCTGTGGGTGTAAGTTCATGGTGGAGACCGTGTCGGGAGAGGAAAGCAATGGGGGCTCCGGTAGATGTTTGTAAGATCGTGATCGGGGAGGACGGCTTTCCATACGGAGTGTCGATCTCTAGCGACGCAACAGCCTAATAGGAACAGTCAGTTATTGCATTGATTTCGACGGTTATAAAATGAGGGAGGGTGGGGAGAGAAATAACTCACGGTGAAGCCTTCGTGCTCAAGATGTGATATTCCGGTACCGCCAATCACAGCTATCCTAACAGGATCTTCGTTATGGCAAGTAAGTACACGCAATATAGGGATTTTCGGTTATAGTTGAAGAAATATACCTGAGTAGGTTTTTGGCAACGACATCTTGCTATTTGAGAAAGAATAAAATACGCCAGTCAACTGCACAAATTTTCGACCTTGAACGAGATTCTACCAGAAAATATTGCCCCGCACGGCCTACAAGAAGAACCTGGACCTGGACAACAAGGTACAAGTGTTACCCGGCCGTTTTGAATACATGTATGTAGCCAAGCCATTAGACGATTAGAAATCTTGACTCGAAAGCTATGGACACTAGCGCTAGCAATAGATTCAGAAGAAATTGTTGAAAAGCCGACGGGCTAGTTGAAAAGTCAACGAGCTATTTTGTGGTGAAGGAACGTAACCGTAGGCAACCGTAGGCAACCGTAAAGCCTTGCTGTCCTCGCCCAAACTCACTCGCTTTGCGAGCAAGGCCGAGATCTTGATAAGATCCCCGCTTCATCTTTCTTATCGGATCACATCAAGTACGTACTCTAGATACGTATACATATCTGTTCCGAAATGATGAAACCTCTTCAACTTGTGAAACCAAACTCTCGTCTGAACCTCCGGCCTAGAACTCTCTCATTACGCAATATTTGATCGAACCTCTTTTAAAGACCCGCAACCGCCACCATATATTTAGCGCGCTCCACAGCCGATGGCGTTAAGTTAGGACTCCGCGCCCGGCCCGAGATTGGGGTGATATTACAGAATGGCGTAACGATTTTGCGCCTCTTTGATATTGATATCTTTTGCCACGAAATATTGGATATAAGGCATCCATTTTCGATTTGACCGTGTTTTATTTCATTCTCGAAGTATATTCGATCCTCAGCCTTTAGAGTACAGCTTGGTAAGGAATAATATCCATGATTCAATATTTATCCTCAATCCATATATATATCTGATGAGATGAATGCGCAGACAAGCCTTTTATTCAGTACCAACTCATACTTCTTTTTGCAAATTCAAATACTTTAAAGGTTATTAATTCCATGTCCCGACTCTACAAACTCCAAGCCAAGCTAACCCACATGCCAGTCAAAATGTTCGGCTCAATCACCACAATGTTCTTATTCATTGTCTTTATGCTTTCTACGATCGTCGCCAGCACTGGCTGGCATATGGACGTAAACTACGCCGACGGGGCTACTGTAAAGCTTAAAGGCCATACCAACTCTGGGTGTACGAAATTCAAAAAGACGGGCTCTGAGATCACTTCAGTATTTTTCGACACTTCGTTGTTGGCGGATACCTTTGTTCTCTACGGTGAGGATGGCTGCAAGGACGAAGTATACAAGGGGAAGAAGGGGAACAATAATGTTCCTAACGATTACTATGCGGCTTATAAGGTGTATTAAATCATGTATACCAACGTACCAGGCGAGGCGCGAAATTGAGGAGTACGCAAATAGTTAAAAGATATTCGAACTATCAGACTCATGCATGAGTCTATGCAAAGATTTCTGTCATAATTTGAAAACAATAACTTAATCTGGGTACTACATGTAGTTATGGTGACGATGTATCCTTGTGATTTCTTAATTTTTGTTTCCAAATTACTAACAGCAAGAAGTCATGTTCACAAGTTATCACTCGAAAACCTATGGTCACGTGTTTGTCGAACATAAAGTACAGGTATTCCCATATCCCATACTTGCGTAACGAGGCAAGCTTGAGGTTCAAAGTTTATGAGCCCAAATGTACTTAATACATGTGCTTGAGATCTTCCTAGCCTTCTAATTCATATCACAGCTTCATCCGGCATTACATGTATTAGTTATTAATGCAGTACATGCACATATAGTTTCGTGTAGCTCTAATGATTAGTACGTTAGTACTTATATGCGTGTCTATTAGTTACTGTCATATATCTGCATATATGTGTAGCTGTCTTCTCACAAGGAAGGTTCATTTATAACTGAAGTAGACGAAAGGTATTCATTCATAGATAATCACTCGTCATTCCTGTTTCACCAACCATCACTCGGAGCACTCTGAAACTACATGCAAGTTGGTTGCTGATTTCATACATGTATGTATGGGCGGCACCACGCCCCACACCCTGGATTAGGACTACATGTATGTGCGGGATACGATCATCAAGTACGTAATATTTCCCCTCACGTGAGTAAGTTTGGCCTCACTTAGAGCAAACATTGATTATATTGTCAAGATCACTTTGTACTACATATATAGCCTCAGTTAGAAACAGAAATAGTTCCGCTACCATGGTACATATCAAACGCATGGCAAGCTTAAGGATAGAGTGCCTGTTTGATTCGGTTGGTGCTACGTGCGGTGGTACAAAACTGGACGTCTCGCGTAATTACCACGCACTCTGCTGCCCTAGTTTTTCGAGTTAATCAAGTGATACATGGGCCTAGTCTTGTTTCCGGACCCATTCGGTGTTTTCTTTTGGAGCTGGTTGACTATTAGTTAATATAGGTATAGACTAAAAGGCTACCATTTTGATAGAGAAATAAAGAATCACCAAAGGTAGTTTGATTCCCATAGAGGAGCTTAAAGTTTACAATTTTTATTTCATTCTACACTACGCTCACAGATCTATACTATGCGGATAGATCTACACTGTGTATACAGACACAGAAGGCATTGGCTCTACTTTTCAAAGAAAAGCGGATAAAACAAGTCGAAAGAAAAAAGAAAAAGGACTACCAGTTCTTACTTCCAAAGAACACCCTTCTTCGCTTCATATCGAGCCTGGCTCGCATAGGAATCTTTCTCGGCTTAATTCTCCTCTTCTCGACCCAAGGCACCCCAAACTCCTCAAAGATCTTCTTCGAGCAGGAGCGCCTTGGGTCCTCCGACCTTGCAAATCCTTGGAACGAGGAGTGGTCAGTGGTTATGGCCCTCCCCACAAACCTGACCACTCTGTCGATCCAATCAACCGCCATTTCTCCAGTGACTGCTGCGTCTCCCTGCCTAAACTCCACGGTTCCATGGGTCTTGACCGCATTCAAATTGTACTTGAAAAACTTGTGGGGGCCGATGAGGTTGAGGAGCTCATGCTGTGTGAGAGTGTTTTCGAGAAGCTCGATAGCTTCGAGCTTGGTGTAGCTGGAGAGATTGTCGCCATGGCGGTTGCTGGAGAGACACCAGTTTTTTTCCGCCTGGCGGTGGGCGGGATGGTATTTGTCTATCGAGGACTCGAAAATCACAATGGCCTTTGCTATTTTTTTGAGGTGGTCCAGACCCCAACCTTCTCCGTATCCAACATGGACATGGAGGCCAGTCGTGAAGTTGAAGCGGCAATCGAAACTTGCCCCGAGATGCTCCATCACCGTGGGGATGATGTATTTCCACGATCGATTACGAAGGATTGGTGTGCAAATTTCGACAGCGTATCCTGGAATTTCCTCCCCCATGTCCTCATCATAAATAATGTTACTGACCGACTTTTCGTCAGTGACAATGAACCGTTTACGGTTCGGGTAGCTCCCAGTAAACTGGGTCCAGACATCTGTCTGGATCGATGCTGCGTTCATGGCGTCTCTGACAACTTCAAAGATAGTTGCCTCCTCCATAGCCAGCTGACTCAAGGTCGCTTGAGTAAGATTGACAATAATCATCTCGAGCTCCATGCCGATAGAAATATTGCCAATAAGGTTGTTTTTTTGGGAGCTGTTGGAGGTTTGGAGGTAGGCAGCTGGAAGCCGCAGAAGAAAGCTCTTCCTGCACTCCGAAAGTTCTTGGAGAATAGCCTGAGGGCTGAAAAAAGGAAGAAGTGCTGGGTTGAAGGGCCGCCTGTTCTGGTTATGGGTGGACATCGTGGGATTTTATATGTGGGTATCTTGTCGTGTGAGAAAGTATCAAGAAGGGTTGTGGTGTCGGTGTTAGAAGTAAACTCGCCTACATATGAGATCACTCGGTCTACGGAACCATAACGGCTGCAGCCTACGACTACTCGGTATACTACACTTTAGTCTCTTTTTTTAGCCCTTGATAATAGACAATGTTCGTACTTACCGCTCGGGACACACATGAAATACGTAAGGATTTCGGATGTTATGTATATATCTCAATAAGGTTGGATCAAGCAGTATGATACAATAGAATTTATAAATACATGTATCAATATAATATAAGTGTAGGTTGAGACTTAAAATCTTGGGTGAGTGTGCATGATGTGGCAAGAAAATGAAAACAATAACCACTGGATATTCTAAGTTTACAAACCCTAGGATTTTGAGCTACTACATGTATTTGTGCTCTAGATAATGGAATTTTTTTCTCTCAGTACACATCGAGACAACTCGATCGAGGTATCTCATAGACCGCATAGAGTTTAGAACTCTGTACGTAATGAAAGGTCTGAGAGATTGTTTATCTCGGGCCTACATACATGTAGCTTTCTGCCATGGCTCGTGATTTTAAAAACCAATACATTACATACAGGTATGTACGTATTCTGATCGATCATACAATTTCTCTTCTGGCACTGCTGTTGGGAAATATAATCGTTGAATTACAACCACATGTATTTATAGAGACCCAGTACATAATACATACGTGAATATATATTATGAGGCCTGAGAATTTCTATCACCCAACACAACTCAAAGACTTAAGAGTACAAGTAGGTGGTTCCCGGGTATGTCCATCAGCTGGCTAATATCCCATTGAGCATCTCCTTTGTGAGAGGCGATGTTCGTTGAAGAGATCCAGTGGTAGAGAAATTCTTTTGAAATGTACTAGATATCGTCACATGCAGCACTTGTAAGCAAGATATGAAATTTGGTGCATCCGTAGAGTTTCTCAATCCATTGAAGGATCGAATTAATTACTCCGTACCATCCAACGAAAGTTACAAAAAGCAAAATCAGACATGACCCAAAGATAGCAAACATTTTAGTCCTTAGTGAAAAGGGGGACATTCTGTTTTTTACCCCCCCCCCGCGGTGGGACTTGAAGAGGATATGAGAATGTAAAATAGGATCAGCAAGGAATTGGACCCGCTTAAAAGAAACCCTGAATACCAGGAAAAATCGCCAATGCAAATAACCCCCTCCCACTTCCTCTCCCAAATCTATCTATACGAAGAAGAAGAAAAAACGAAACAGAAAGCAAATTTCCCGCCCAATAGACACCCATCTCATTGAACCTTCTACAGATTACCTCTACCGTTAATTGGCCCCAGTAGCAATGGAAACCAGGTTATCATAACCACGGATGAGGTTTTGATCTTCGTTATAAAGAAATTGAACCAATTGGACAAGCTTTTGACGAGTCTCCGGATTTACTTGTTCGTCAGGGGGTGACAGTACTGAAGCGATGATGGGAACGAACTGTCCAGTCATGCTACCAACAATCTGGTTTCTTTCTTGGTCTATTACACAGAAAAAGAATTAGTCAAAGTAGCCAGTAGTGGTATCCAGGAAATCCCTTACAAAGTTTTACAAGCATAGTATAGATAGGTTCATTCTCTTCGTAGTCTTCCTTCAAAGGAAGCACATTGGCAATCACCGGAAGGACCTCGCTCAAGGGCACATTGTTGGGGTGAGCCATGATCATTCTTGAAACGCAACCACAAGCATTATCAAGCATCCTGTAACTCTGATCTTGCAAAAGAGGTTCTAGTTTGCGAAGAATAGTGCTGTAGTTACTGGTGATTAACTGGGTGTTTTGGGATTTGATACACAATAATCCCATGGCGTAGGCGGCATTTGACCTCGTTTCTGGGTCTGCGTCCGAAAGCTTGTGCATGAGGATTTTCAACAATTGCTATTGTTGAGATGTTAGAATATTTGATACACGTTTTTAGAGCAGATATCACTTACTTCGGTCCTAGGAGTGCACCCTTCTTCCATATACTTGATACAATCGGCAATCACACCTACACTAGTTGATCGTTCAATTGCTTCTGAAGATGAGGCAAATTTGATGAGATGGCTTCCGACAATTTCCCACATCTCGTTGAATTGGGTACCAAGAGCCGTGGCGAGACCCAGGATCACGTCCATGGCCGTATCAATCAAATGCCAATCATATTCAGAAGATTCTTGGAGTTCTGGTAAATCGTCTTCCTCGTCATCGTCCAACTGGCAGGGGTGTTGTTTTTTGAGGATCAATACAAGTTGGGTAGCGAGCTCGACTAAGTTTGCTGAGTCGGCAAGGAAAGCAGGCCCGCATAGCTTGAGGGTCTCTGCAATGTTGCGACAGATATCAGTCACGGTGCCCCTAGAAGTTTCCATTAGCTAGCGCGCTCTTGCCAGAAATTCAGTTTTCAAAAGAGAAGGCTTTCATAATAACTTTTTTAAGAATTGGTATGAAATATTTTTAGGGGGGAAGGGGGTGCTTGCCTATCAGTCTCGTTCTTCCAGTTCACGATTGTACATGT